CCTAGCAAATCTCGTGTTTCTAAACACCCCTCATCTAAATTTTCGACACTGATCTTCAAGGAAAGTCAATGGATGGTTGGGCCAAAAGTTTAAAATTTCTTGGTAAAAATATAATATAATCATGATCTACAATATTGGTTTTCAAATTTAAATATCAATATTTTGTCAGGTTCTATGGCCCCTATACTTCTCTGAAAAATGTTCCAATATGATCAAAAATATTTGAAATATGGTTCAAATTAATAGTTCGCGCTTGATTTAACCCTTGGACAGTGGAGAGATTTTTTTCATTGTATGGTGGAGTTGGGATTTTTATTGGGGGGTGGCACATGTCATTTTGACCCAAGGTCACTGAAATGCTCCCAGGTAGAGAAGGCCTAAGTCAGGAAAAATCCAGGATGAGACACATTTTCTATTGCTTTTAGGATTCTCTCAAGCAAATCCTATGCGAGGTAAGCAGGAAAAATGCCACCCGACCAGTGACACATTTTCTATCATTTTTCATTCAAAATTTTCTGCAGGATTATAAAAAAAAAATATCGGAATATTTCCATACTAATGCCTTGTTACATAAGTGGGACTCTTGAAATTTCCATTGCTCAAAGGCACAACATTTTTCAGAAGTTTCATCAACTTTGCTGCGCAAGAGTTAAATTTTCACACCTCGATCCTGTCAATTTTTCAAAAATCCCGGTTTGTTTTCCTGGTGCAAATTAAGGCACAAAGGGAACCGGACAGATTCCTGTTTATTGACTATATTTTTCGACCTCACCATGCAGCTATTGCTGCGAGTTTATTCCGGCCCCATATAAATGTGTTCGCTCTGGAAAGATATTTTCTCTTTGAGCTCTGAACTACAGTTGGCCTACTTTCACGCAGTATTGGAAGACATATATGTGTGAGGATATATAAATATAAATACATATCTGTTTAGTAGTCCCGTGGAGTGACGTAAACACGTCACTCCACGGGTTTACAGATGAGGCGTTTCTCGTCACTTTTTGTAGAATACTCATCGAAACCCCTCACAATATTTGTCGACATGAACGGACGACTGGAAATATGATGCTTCAATAAGAATGTGAATGACAGGAATTGGGTTCATGGCATAAATCGCCATTTTCCGGGGTTTTCAAGAAAAAATCTGTGCAGATGTCTTTTAATAATAAGTTAGTTTGCGTTCACAATTTTATCTCTATTTAAGGACCTTAAGGTACAGATATATACAGTAGGCTAATGTCTCAACAACTAAAGTTAGTTTTTAAGTTAACGGGTTAAGCAATTGCAAGAAAGTTGATCCTCAATCAAACATTGCACTTGCAAGGCACTGATGTTCTGAATCCCTGATCACAATTGCAATGGATATATTTGCATTATTGCCATGTTGCAATCACAAGGGTTATCAAAACTCTTTTCAGGGTTTCCATACTTTGATTTTAACAGTTATGGTAAAAATTTCCTAGTTCATCTCAAATAAATCCTAAAAAATAATGACTGTTAATGGATGATTGAGAGTAACAAAGAAAATCTAATCAAATAAAAAATACTTTTGCATCACATGGAAGCAGTTTTTTCTCATTCCATTTGAATTCTCTACAGACAAAAAAACAGAAAAAATCTGCCTTGGTAAAGGAATAAATTAAAAAATTACGAATAAAGCTAAATGGTCTCTGAAAGGAATTATTCAATGAATGAATGCCCAAATTCAATCATTAAAGTACAATTACCAATTTAAAAAAATACTAGGATAAGCTTCTTTCTGTGCCAACCTGTCCAAAGTTGAAGCCATACAAATCAATATATCCTCTTCCATCTACAGAAACTTGAACAGTTGATGAAAAAGTTAATAATATTTATTGCATTTTGATCATGATTTCAATCAATTTCCACCTGAAAAATGCTTACACTGCTGTAATTAATTGACACTGGTTGTGATTGTGATTGAATCAGTTTTACCCCAATTGCACAGTATACAATCACAATCCTTTAAAAAATTAATACCCAATCTCAATCACTATTTCAATGCCTAAAAAATTGTTTTGTCCAATCAAAATTGCAATCGTGATTGGGCTAAGTTGTGGCACAATTATAATCCTACTGGTCAAATATCATCATCTTTTACTTGAAGAAATCCCCACAAAGCATCAAAAGCAGGAAAAATTTCGTCAAATTACGTGCTACAAAGGTCAAGGTGGGATTTATTCAGTGTTCACCTGAAGGATCATGTGGAAGGAACAGGATTTTCTGATCTTGAATCCAAAGCTGCTTTGTATGAGGGAACAAAGACACCTTCTGTCCCGGCTTCAACAATGCACGAGGCCTTTTGAAAGGACTCATCAGTCACGAGGCTGTATAGGAGCGACATCTAATTATTTATCTTTTGAAATATTGCGTCATTGACTGGTTGTCTATGCAACGATCCGGTCATTTTACAAAGAATGCAATTTCTCATGAAAATGCTTCCTCGCCTTTTTAAAAACATACAAATCTTTAACTGAATAATATAATTATATCTTATCTCTTTATTAGCACGAGTCCATGCATTACGTGTCGATAAAAATTAGAACTTCTATGTGGACCTTAAAAACTTGTTATGTCTTCTCGAGCATCATTACGCAGGAATAAAAATTGGTTTCGTGCAAAAACCCAACTGTACTTCATTTATTTTTCTTAAAGCCAAATACGTCTTTGTGTATTTCCACATTCCTTATTCAAATCAAGAAATATATACTGCACTTCCAAGGTCGAATTTGGAAAGCTGCCGACAAAAAACTACAAATTTCTGTTTTCAGTCTCGTCCAGAGAAGTCAGAGGCATTCCCGCCAATCTGATGCAAATTTCAATGCACAAAATCATTTTTCCTTTGCTTTTCTTCGTGGATTGGCAGCGTTTCCATTCCCAAGCCAGAGTATTTGCACTAAATCTCTCGAAGTATCATTTCGTGTTCTGTGCAGTACATGAAATAAGACCGACTGATGTTGCTTGCATACGCCTGAGAAAGTGGAGGATTCGACAAAATAAAGTCTTCATCAATCTCGAATGACGCAATCATAATAAATTTCCGGGAATTTTACAACATCGAACCCACATTTTTAGACATTTATTTATTAAGCGACTGTTCCGGGTCGTTATTGTATGGAATTCATTTTCGAAATTCGAAATTTAGTCGTCTCAAATGTGGAAATCGAAGAATTGGAATGAGGAAAAGATAAACATATATTAGGAATTCCCGATTGGAATATATTTCACCACGCTTCGAGTTTTCAATGCACAGTCGACCAACCATTGGCTGTATAAACATTCACGCCAAATATTTCCATTCCCAGCGTTGAAAAAACAAAGCACCAACCCAAGTTTTCTCGGCCAAAAAAAACAAAAAAACAAAATCAAATCAAACCTCGACTGATAACGTATATATAACCCTTTTTGAAATCTCGTGATGAAATCTTCAAAAGAAGAAAACCCCAGAACATTAAAAAATTATCCCGTTTGTGGAAGACGATACAAAAATTCAGGACTGCAAAAAACGAATCCGTCGCAAAATATTTTTCCTTCAAATTCCTTTTTTTTTCTTCTCTCTCTCTTTCTCTCTGTGTACACCTGGGGCAATGAATCACAGTGCAAATGAAAAATATTTTCGTCGGCAATAAAAATCCCTTTCACGTGTTCGCGGATACAATTTTCAAAAGTGCAGAGCGAGTAATTTTGCGACAAAAACAATGCTAAACATTTACGCATGTTTTTCTTCTTTCACAGCAGCTGAACGAAAATTTCCTCCCGGATGTTTCTATAGGTCTTCAAGAAAGGGGGACTTTCTTTCGAAGATAAAACTCCTCCGGAAAAAACCTGCGGATGATAAAATTACATTTTCATGTCATCATAATTAACCCCGAGAATATCTTGAACGTACCTCATTTTTTTCTCTTCCGGTCCCTCGTTTCCCGAAAGCAATCCCACGCCTATATACGACGAATATGCGAGAAAAAATCCGAAAAGAAAGGAGCGACGTTGCGAAAAAAAAATATTGACAAAAATGTATGAAGCAGAAAAGACAGGGATTTATGTGTGTGTTTTTTTTCTCTGGTTCTTCTCCTTTTTCTAGGTTTGTTGAACGATGGACGATGGAAAAGCTGACGTCATACGAGTTGGCAACCTCATGGGCAACGGAGTGATGAGTCCAGAGTGCGACGACTGATGTTGGGTTCTGTGACGCATTCTTTGAGACTCCTGCAAAAATAAAATAAAAAATTAATTAGCAATAGTGCATCAGTTAATGCATATTTGACACGTCGTCCAACAAATCATGCAATGCAATACGCCTTTATTCCCCGGTTTTAATTCAATTTTCGAAGGAGAATGAATTTTCCAACTCCATGAGTTGAATGAAAGTACGCGGGTCAAAACATTATGCTTGTAATGCGTTGACCTCCTGTCATCTATCTAAAAAATTAGACCTTTATGCTATTTTCGTGAACCGCACGAACGTATGATTTATGTTGTTTCGAGCTAAAAGAAAGGATTTCCAACGCCTCCATTATTTCAAAAATCACAAATAAAGCGCAATGAGTCGGATAATAATTCATGAAGAACGCCTCTTTCTATAAAGAGCTGCGAAAATTTGAAGCTCGTCTGGATATTGATTTTCAAGCTCATTTTTTTCTTGGAACGGCGATGTTCTTGGCGAGGATGTAATTTTATGAATTCGAAACTTTTCAAATTATGTATATTTTTCAATGATCGTCGACTTTCAGCTGAACGCTAACTAAACCTATATTCTATAATGACACTTGAATCAAAATTAGTGGTAATCACTTTATAAGGAACTAAGAGTACTTGCTCGTTACCGACTTCTTCTTTGAATAAAAAATTGTAATCTGCTCGTAAAATATTAATTGCCCTCAAGTTAGATCATTGAAATTTGCAAGGGATCCAAATTCGATACTCGATTATTGTTTCAGATGAACTGATATTTTGATTGAGGCCGTGAAATTTTATCCACAATTTTATTCGAGGAACACAAATCTTGAACTAATGTCAGTTTCGGAATTTATTCCCCTTATTGAAATTGACTGCTGGGTGATACTTTGGTTATAATTCCTTAAATATCAAAATTGAAGAATGTTTCCTTCGTTAAATTGTCATTCAAAATGTACAAAGACATTATTGCCGAGGATTCATCTTTCATTAACGTCGAAGTTCAAGTCTCTCTGATTGTTCAGCCAAGAAATAGGTGTCGCCAGTATCCGATTAAACTTTTTTAAGTGTCGGTCAAAACAATGTTAATTTTTCTATACACTTTTTCAAGCTAAGGTGGAGCATATAAAGTCAAGTTATAATTAGTAGCTTCTTAGCGTGAATTTGGGAACATTCGTGTTTCGCGAGAGGAGCGACACCTGCCTGACATTTCAGAAGACAAGATTTTTCTGTCAAGGGAAAATATTTTTCTCCCGGATCGATTTAATGTTGATTGAAGACGTTTGGTTCTTTGCATACCTGTTAAATGTTCTGTACAATACTGTATAATGCGTGGACACATTTCATGGAATTAAACCACGTGCACACTCTACCTAAAATGCAAATTATCGTTGACAACATGATTTGTGATTTATCGGATAGGTGTCGCTCGTTCATGTATCCTGCTTTTCCTGGTTTCACAATTATTATTCGTATAAGGCAAGTTCCCTATATGTGCTGAAATGAATTTTAGAACAGCTGTTACAGAGAGAAGATTTGATATACAGTGAGACCCCACATGCGGACACCTCAACAAGGGGACAATTTGAAATTTATTTTTCAACAAAAAATCATAAAAAAGGCCCAACATACGGACACTGACAAAACATGCGGACATTGCATGTTAAAATTTCAAATAAATTTTTGGAAAATTGACTTTTATGATGCTTAATTTGAAGAAATAGATACTGTATTTCCAACGCAAAGATCTATGCAAGAAAAATTCTTTGGTACTTTTCCCAACACTTCCCCATCCATTAAACTAATTAGAAAATAACCTATTGCACAAAGGGACTTCCTTCTCTCTTTGTGACTTGCATGTTATTTTTACAGATGCCAACATTTCACTGACCTGTACAGCAGTATATTATCCAATCTTCCAATTGTTCTTATTGGGTTGAAAAGATATTCACTGAAAGAAAATCAAGTGGCAGACAAATTTTTTCATGGAAATCTGAAAAATATTTCTTCCATACAACATCAATTGAAAATTATATAATGTATGTCTATGGGAAAACAAGACTCAACCTAGGGACACTCTTGATGCACCAATTATGTCCGCATCTGGGGGTCTCACTATTTTCTTTCTGCGTCAACATAAGGAAATTGTAAACATCCTCCTATAGTAATCCTATAATATAAACAGGACATCTGTGAATAATGATCAGTTCAAACAATTTGGGCAGAAAATCATTTCCATGGTTCAAACCTGAGTCCCAAAAATAAATCGCTTCGTCAAACTTCTCACTACATTTCCCTTTAAATTCAACTAAAATACGAGGGCCTTCGACTGATGCATTCTAAAATGTATATATGTATACCTGCCACAAAGCAGCCTTGTACTCTTCCTCATACAAATCCGGAATGAGGCCCTGGCCAGGACTGACTGGGTTCGGAACCATAGCCACCGAGGTTTTGCCCAACACCCGCTTCTCGTACTCGATCATTTGGCGGAAAAACCCGACGTTGGGGCGCACGATCGGGCGGCGTCCCCGGACGTAAAAGTACGCTTCGCGCAAATTCCTTCCCTCGTACTTGATGAGGTACACCATGCAGAGTGCCGCCGAACGGGACACGCCGGCGACGCAGTGGATCAGCGTCCTGCCGCCCTTTCGGCGCACTTCCCAGATCTTGTCGGCGACGGCGTCGAAGTGAGACGCCAGGTTGGACGTGGGGGCGTCCATTATCTGGATCTGAGCACCAAAAAAAATNCAGTTAATGCATATTTGACACGTCGTCCAACAAATCATGCAATGCAATATGCCTTTATTCCCCGGTTTTAATTCAATTTTCGAAGGAGAATGAATTTTCCAACTCCATGAGTTGAATGAAAGTACGCGGGTCAAAACATTATGCTTGTAATGCGTTGACCTCCTGTCATCTATCTAAAAAATTAGACCTTTATGCTATTTTCGTGAACCGCACGAACGTATGATTTATGTTGTTTCGAGCTAAAAGAAAGGATTTCCAACGCCTCCATTATTTCAAAAATCACAAATAAAGCGCAATGAGTCGGATAATAATTCATGAAGAACGCCTCTTTCTATAAAGAGCTGCGAAAATTTGAAGCTCGTCTGGATATTGATTTTCAAGCTCATTTTTTTCTTGGAACGGCGATGTTCTTGGCGAGGATGTAATTTTATGAATTCGAAACTTTTCAAATTATGTATATTTTTCAATGATCGTCGACTTTCAGCTGATGCGATTGATTTGGATATAAGATATTACTGTGAACTTAGTTTTAATCACCATTAGTGAAATATTCCTTGATTCTCATGAACGAGCAATGGCTGAAGAAGAAACTTATTTTTTAACATTAGACGAGCAGAAATATTAATTGCCCTCAAGTTAGATCATTGAAATTTGCAAGGGATCCAAATTCGATACTCGATTATTGTTTCAGATGAACTAATATTTTGATTGAGGCCGTGAAATTTTATCCACAATTTTATTCGAGGAACACAAATCTTGAACTAATGTCAGTTTCGGAATTTATTCCCCTTATTGAAATTGACTGCTGGGTAATACTATGGTCATAATTCCTTAAATATCAAAATTGAAGAATGTTTCCTTCGTTAAATTGTCATTCAAAATGTACAAAGACATTATTTCCGAGGATTCATCTTTCATTAACGTCGAAGTTCAAGTCTCTCTGATTGTTCAGCCAAGAAATAGGTGTCGCCAGTATCCGATTAAACTTTTTTAAGTGTCCGTCAAAACAATGTTAATTTTTCTATACACTTTTTCAAGCTAAGGTGGAGCATATAAAGTCAAGTTATAATTAGTATAGCTTCTTAGCGTGAATTTGGGAACATTCGTGTTTTGCGAGAGGCGCGACACCTGACTAACATTTCAGAAACAAGATTTTGCTGTCAAAGGAAAATATGTTTCTCCCGGATCGATTTAATGGTATTCGAAGACGTTTGGCTCTTTGCTTTCCTGTTAAATATTCTGTACAATAAAGTAGAATGCGTGGACACATTTCATGGAATTAATCCAAGTGCATCCTCTACCTACAATGCAAAATATCGGTGACAACAAGATTTGTGATTTATTCGATAGGTGTCGCTTGTTCATGTCTCCTGGTTTTCCTGGTTACACATGATTATTCCTATGAGGCAAGTTCCCTATATGTGCTGAAATAAATTCTAGAACACCTCTTAAGGAGAGAAGATTTGATATACAGTGAAACCCCACATGCAGACAACTCAACATGCAGACAATTTGACTTAGGGACATTTATTTTTCAACAAAAAAATAATAAAAGGTCCAACATATGTACACTGACACAACATAAGGGCATTGCATGTTAAAATTGCACGTACATTTTTGGAAAATTGACTTTTATAAGGCTTAATTGCAAGAAACAGATATTTCCAACCCTAAGATCTGTGCAAGAAAAATTATTTGGCAATTTTCCCATCACTTTCCCATCCATTAAACTAATTGAAATTACCTATAGGCTATAGGAAAAAGAGATGTCCTTCTCTCTTTGTGACTTGGATGTTATTTTTACAGATGCCAACATTTGAATTAACTGTACAGCAGTATATTATTCAATCCTCCAAATGTTCTTATTGGGTTGGAAAGATATTCACTGAAAGAAAATCAAGAGGCAGACAAATTTTTTTTCACGGAATTCCGAAAAATATTTCTTTCATACAACACCAATTTAAAATTATATAATGTAAGTCTATGGGAAAACAAGACTCAACTTAGGAACAATTCAACCTAGGGACACTCTTGATGCACCGATTATGTCCGCATCTGGGGGTCTCACTATTTTCTTTCTGTGTTAACATAAGGGAATTGTAGACATCCTCCTAGTTCTCCTATTATATAAAAAGGGCATCTGTGAATAATGATCAGTTCAAATAATTTGGGCAGAAAATCATTTCCATGGTTCAAACCTGAGTCCCAAAAATAAATCGCTTCGTCAAACTTCTCACTACATTTCCCTTTAAATTCAACTAAAATACGAGGGCCTTCGACTGATGCATTCTAAAATGTATATATGTATACCTGCCACAAAGCAGCCTTGTACTCTTCCTCATACAAATCCGGAATGAGGCCCTGGCCAGGACTGACTGGGTTCGGAACCATAGCCACCGAGGTTTTGCCCAACACCCGCTTCTCGTACTCGATCATTTGGCGGAAAAACCCGACGTTGGGGCGCACGATCGGGCGGCGTCCCCGGACGTAAAAGTACGCCTCGCGCAAATTCCTTCCCTCGTACTTGATGAGGTACACCATGCAGAGTGCCGCCGAACGGGACACGCCGGCGACGCAGTGGATCAGCGTCCTGCCGCCCTTTCGGCGCACTTCCCAGATCTTGTCGGCGACGGCGTCGAAGTGAGACGCCAGGTTGGACGTGGGGGCGTCCATTATCTGGATCTGAGCACCAAAAAAAATTTTTTTTAGCGCATATATTCTTTTGGGCATGCACGCCATGTATAATAAAAATAGGAAACGTTTTTAGAAAAAAAATGTTCCAGGGGGTGGGATTGAACTCGGACCTCTGCATGGAGTGTTATTGCAAGGAGTAGGAAAAAAAAATGTGGCAGGAATAATTCCTCCATTGCTACTGGCTTTTTTGGTGGTGTGGTTGGAAATGAGAGGAAGACTGGAGTGGGGAAAGTCAAAGGGCTTTAATAGTCGTAACATGAAACCCCGACGTAAGTCGGGGTTTTTTTAATTTAAGAAAAGCGTCGTAAGATGAAACGGACGTAACATGGGCCCGTCGTAAGTCGGGGGCCCACTGTACTCTTAATATACTCGAATATTCCTAGAATTAGGATTCTATTTCCCCCTCCCTCAAAATCGCGGTGCCAGGCGCAGCGTCCTCGACAATAACTTCTCTCATTCTGATTTGCATATTAAAACCTTGTTAAGGCAAAAGATATAATTGTTAATATAAGCTGCTCCTTTTCAAAAGATTAAAATTCAATTCAATTTTGCAAGTTATCCTCATCTTACAAGCCTGAGCTTGTCGAGTTGTTTTATTTTTATTTGTGAAATACAGTGTTATCCCCTTTTTACGTAGGAATTCCAATAAGAATTCTGGTCCAGTCCCGGACTCATTCATTTGTTTTATTGCTTTGACAAAATACTCAATATCAGCTTATATTGTGGCCTTTTGTGCCCAATATATTCGAAATAGAAGAATATAAATTGATGCACCAATTATTTCCACGGGAATTTATTAAGGTGTAATAATTCCAGAAAACGTTTGGTTGTCACATTTAAAATAGTTAGAGTAGATTTTATATCAATGAGCTTCTCTGCAACGAAATTCCCTCTACAATAGCTCAGCTGCTGAATTTTTTGAATACATTCTACAGTGAAGTAATTTATCATTTTCTCAATTTCAAAATTAAAAACAGAGATCTTAACTCATTCGAGAAAATTATTTTCAAATATAATTACAATTTTAACGAAAAAAGGAACAAAATAAAATTAAGGATCACAACAATCAATAATTTTGTTCCGAAAATCAGGAAGATTCAAAGATTCAGCGTACATCGTCAGCGGTTTATTTTTTAAATGCTGTTTTTCGCTTTTATTAAAATGCAAATGCTCTCCATTACACATCGTGAATTAATATATTTATTTATGGAGAATAAGAAAACAAGGATGGTCTCATTTCTTCAGTTCTCCTCCGGGACATTTAGAATTTAAAAAAATATTTCCAACAGATAGTATCTTGCATTAGAAATTCTTCAGCATTACAGCGAATCAAGATAATAAAAATGTCATGTTTTATAACAAATCTCATTTTATTCGCTGAAGTAATCTGTATTTCCGGTGTGTTTTCAAATGAACTCAAAGATCAACTTTTATATTTGGTTCAGCTAAGTATATAAATTTCAGACAATGAGCAACTCACCATAAATGGCCAACACCATTAATTCGCATAACAACGATGGCAAAATTTTAATTATTCCTATGACAGTTGATTCGAACTCTTCAAATCTTTATTTTTATAATAAGCCAGACTCATTGATCACTGCAGCCAGCAAATAAAAAAAATAATATTCTGCAAAAAAGGTTAATTAAATTTAATGACGAAATCATCATCTGGAAGAGATGGTTTTAAACCTTTTCGAGGGAGCAACTTCATCGTTCAAGAGAGAGCTAACTTCAAGAGTTTAAAACTAAATCCCATTCCAGAGATGCTAAATTAAATTAATTCAAACAGTACTTGGTATAAACTCTTCAAGCCTTCATCATCAAGCCAAGCTCATAATTGAGCTGCTGCTGCTCATTTGTATATAGTGACGCCCTCTATATACTTACTGGAAGAAAAAAAGAAGCAAAAAAACCCTCACCTTCATATACTCCATCCCAGTGCCCAGGGGCTGGAAAGGCAGTTCCAGCGTGACATTAATCACACACGTGATCCCCAGGGCTCTGACATTGCCCTCAGTCACTGCTCTTGCAGAGCACAAGTACAAAGAGTCGGTGATTTGCGAGATTTGCGTGCTCGGACGCATGGAGCACGGCCAGTCCGAGCGCATGATGCCGTCAATCGCCAGCCCGGCCAATTGCTGGGCCTTTTTGCGCACTGCCTTCGCCTTCTGCAATATATTCCAAGGATACGACATTCATAAAAAACACACACACACAAACAAATACACAGTCATCAGAATAAATCATCATCATATGTATAAAATTGGGGTGGCTGGAATAACGTCGCCAGGCCCAACCTCGTCAGCCAGGAATAATGTCGTCAAGAATTAAACTCGTCGCGGAATATCTTCGTCAGGAATAACATCGTCTTCATGTCTTCATGTTCTACCCGAGATGTTGGGACTTGAGGATTTACACAACCTTACACTAGGGTGAATTTCACCCTAATTGAAGCCCGGCCAATTCACTTAGTTTCATTAATTAATTTTCCTTAACCCTTGGACAGCGGCTAAAATAATTGAGCAGACATTTAAGTCCCAGTGTCCCACAAGATATTGTTGCCAATGTTTCTGTCACAAAAATAAATGGCACTGGTATAATTTGTCACGCTGAAATTAACAAATACGAGAATCCGAATTTTCCAAAAACTCGTCCTTGTATACATCTTTGAGAGAACCAGGAAAAACTCTGGTTTGCACGCCCATTCTCAAAAACTTCCAAGGTTTGCAACATTGCTAAAATTCAGGAAAAACCAAAACTGTTATTTATCCTTGAAGGATACTCGCGAGATTTGAAAAGTGTGGCTGTATTTTTCAATTAAAACAACCTTACACTAGGGTGAATTTCACATCAATTGTAGCCCGGCCAATTCACTTAGTTTCATTAATTAATTTTCCTTAACCCTTGGACAGCGGAGGGTTCTTTCCCATTGCTGGCCAAAGTTGGTTTATTTTTGTCGGTTGGGGCATTTCAAGTTTTCTGAAGGTCAGAAAAGCCCTTCCAGATGGGTTGAGGTGAAGTCAGGATTAATCCGAAAAAGCCGTTGCATAACATACCATTTTTTTTTTATTTTCCTGCAAAATTTTTCTGCGCAAAAAAAAAAAAAAAAAAACATTTGAATTTTTACTTCCTCNAAAATTTTTCTGCGCAAAAAAAAAAAAAAAAAAACATTGGGATTTTTCCTGACTTTGTCCTCAACTCCCTGTTATGTTTTTCTTTTCCTGTCAGAGGTGCAACAAAATTTTGGAAAAATAGTCCAACTTTGCCAAACAAAGGTTAAATATTTTTAACAGTTTCCACCAAGAGTGCTGAATAAATCATAGAGAGAAAAAAAATCAGAATTTCTGCACTTGGAATCTTGAAGGGAACAGAATCACATACATACATGGATACTACAGCAGTTATAAAAAAATAGACAAACAATCCTCCATGAACGGAATTTCAATCTTCATCAAATCAAGAGCAACGCAAAAAAACCATTTTAAGAAAATTTGCACTCAGTTCACTGTGAATATCGATGTTGCAGGCGGTGCATGCCTGCATCATCATGAATGACAAATTCAAAGACATAATGTGCCTTCGAATCTTTTATTCACAGAATTTATCTCTATTTAATGGATTGCATCTCGTTCATACATGTATTGAAAACTATATTGAGCAGACATTCAAGTCCCACATTGTGGCAAATGTTTCTGCCAAAGCGTGCTGAATAAATTGGAGAAAAAACATCAGAATTCTTGGAAAAGGAACAGGTTGACTGAGCAAACAAGAGAAATATCGTGAGAGGAACCTGTGAAAGGTAATCGATCGTCGCATTTTCAAAGTGCCAACTTGAGCGCATGTGTCGTCTTAATAGGGACGCGTTCTTCTCCAAGGTCTGATTCCCTAGAATTTGCATCATATTGCAATTCCGATCAACAGTGCAAAATATCCCCAGCTAATTCTCTCTACCAGGAAAGAAGGTAAGTAACTTAAGCAGTAAGCCAATGTAAAATCGAGGGTAACGAACAGTTATTCGACCCAAAACAAAAACCTTATCCATTTCGCCGAGACTCGGCGAAATTTTGATCCGAGCCTTTTTGAAGGTTTTTCGAAAACCATCAAAATTGGCACAGCTTGACGAAATGCAGACTTCCTTGAAAGAGAAGAATCGAGTTCAGCTCCATAGTTTTTTTTTCACTGAATTTCTACCAATCAAACCGAATTTCCAGCATTAAAATAATTTCAAAAGAACTTGGCAAAATTTGGATCCGAGCATTTTTGAAGGTTTTTAGAAAACAATCAAAATTGGCACAGCTTGAAAAAATGCAGACTTTCATGAAAGAAAAGAATCGAGTTCAGTTCCATAGTTATTTTTGCACTGAATTTCTCCCAATTAAGCCAAATTTCAATTTAAAGAATTTCACCATTCCACATGAAAATGGAAGATGTGCTTCACTTTGATTTAGAATGGAAAGATAATTAATTTTTCAATGGGATAACAAGACTTTGAAGCAGTTCTTAATCTGAACAAATGAATGTTGAGCTCCTTTCGGTTCCTGTAAGCCAACGAGAATAATAAACTGTAACCCAAAACCCTCGGTTCCAGCTTTAACAATATGCTTCAACAACCCACATGGCCTGTGGAATGTTTTTGGCATGCAGTAATTTTTGTTTTCGTGTCTCGTATCTGTTGAGAGAAAAACGGACTCTCGATTCAATGATTGATTTATGATTTCTAAAATTGTGCCAAATAAAGAGAATTTTAATGATTTAGAAATTGGGACATGGCCAGAAAGCATCGGAAAAACTAATACAACCGATGAATTCGAAGTTCATCCACTTGATTTTTGAAGAAGTTGAAAACTTTATATTTACTTTACAACTGCTGAATTTCCGTGATGAGAATATATCGTTTTGACAAATATATTCTCGAAGTAATTTCGAAACCTTCTTGCGAAAAAATTGTCCCAATTTCGCACACCCTTTATTGCCTACAGGAGATCGCATATCTTTTTTTCTTGAACTACATTAATTCTTCAGAGTTTTATTTTCAATGCTATGCAAAATGTTACTACAGTATTTTCCCCTTGTTATGACAAAGAAAGCGACAAAGATTTTTACATAGAATCGAAATTGTTCTTTTCCAATCCTACGCCTCTTGGAGGGAAAATATTTTTTTCCAGCACAGGATAATTCTGAGTAGAATCGATTTCAAAAGATGAAATTCAATTTAGAACCTGAATACTTTCAATGTTAACCTCGGGTGTCTAAACTGGAATTCCAGTATATACGTCTCCCAACGGATCCTTTGAACTCTCTTCTGCAATGTATTTGTGTTTGCATTTCGTATATACCAAAACGTCTAGACTGCTCTGAAGTTCAAAACAAATCTCAACTGAGTCCTGAATAGATATTGAAGCGCAAAAAGGCACAGGAATTCAGAAGAGGGACGTTTGAAAACAAGTCACGCATCATCCAAGGAAATTCCCGCCGTCCATCTGCTTCTCGACGCTTTTTTTTTTTAAATTTTCCCCGGAAAAAATGCAATCTTGACACAGAAGTGAGACCGAAAAAAAAATATGATGAGGATTTTTATCTGCATTTTTCAAAGACGGCTTTTGTGTTTTGCATCTGCTTCTCTTCCTGACAAGTGATGGTTTCCTCGTGCCGCAGACGAGGTTTCGACCTGAGAAGAGCAGAACAAAGTTGAACTGACGATGGTGGGCCGAGGTCGAAATCGTTACGACTGCCTAATGGCCCTCAAAATTCCTCGACGCTGATTTCACCTTGACTCGCATTCAACCCGTGGTATTTTCCATTTAATTTTATTTTCTATAAACATGCGGACACCTCAACATGCGGACAATTCGACATAGGGGCAATTTTTTTTTCAAAATAAGGGCATAAGAAGGCCCTACATATGGACAGTGACTCAACATTGCTGTAAGAAAGTAAAGAAAAAAAACAACCATTTCCAATGAAGAATAACGCTTCTGCGCGGGCATGAGAGCTTGCGTAACTGCCAAAAATGCCAACAGCAATAAATTTGTTGTTGCCAGGGTTATAAACCAAAACAGAAACCAGGTCATAAGAAACCTGACTTCAACACTTTGTTTTGGCATGAGGAGTTTAAGAAAAATTGCTCTCCTCATGTTATGTGCTCATTTTTTGGGATTTTAAATCCCTCAGGTTGGTCGCGCACCAACCAATTGACGTGTTTTACTCTCTTGATCAACCTCTCACCTCACACACTCATTTGGGAGCAGAGTGCAACCTTTGATTTTGCACAATTGCATGATAAAATTGCCAATATATTTCAGGAAAATTGACTTTTATCAGGCTTGATTCCAAGAAATGGATATTTCCAACCCTGAGATCTATGCAAGAAACATTCTTTGGTATTTCTCCCATCATTTTCCCATCCATTCAGCTAATTAAAAAAATTACTTATATTGCAGAGGGACTTCCTTCTCTCTTTGTGATTTGAATGTTATTTTCACAGATGCCAACATTTCAATGTACTGTACAGAGGTACACTGCTATTTAATGCTCCAAATGTTCTTATTGAGTTGAAACGATATTCACTGAATCAAATTCAAGTGGCAAAAACAAATTATTTTCCTGGAATTCTGAAAAATACTTCTTCCATAAAAGTAAAACAAAAATTAAAAGTTATCTTATGTAAGTCTATTTGAAAACAAGACCAAACTTAGGGACATTTCAACTTAGGGACACTCTTGATCCGCCAATTACATTAGCATCTGAGGGTCTTACTTTATTAACATTTATTTATAAAACAAAAGGGGGGCCAAATTTTTACAAGCAGTTTTGAAAAAGCATTTTTTCCAGTGAATCAGTTGATAGAAGAATGTATTTGTAAAGTTTTTGGCTATTCTGAAAGCTAAATTTCGCAAAATTAAACCTTTTAATCAGTTATTTTCTTGAGAAAATAAGTGAAGCATTCAACAAATTTAGATTTTCTTTTTTCTCTCCTAGAAATCACACTTGTCCGCCTTGAATGAAGCAGGAGATGAGTCATTGAAATTTTTAAAAAATCTTGTGAAGACTCGGGGAAATATAAGATACAACTTAGTTCTGAGATTTCAAAAAAATTTAAAAAGCGAATTCTGAGGGAGGTCATGATTGAAAAGAATTCTCCCATCAATAGCTATATATATGTGAAAAGCGGTCGAGAGAATCACTGAAATGACGC